TATATATATATATATATGATTTTAATTTGTTCACAATCCATACACTCATTATAAAGGGGAAGGATGCTTTCTTAAATTTGAACTCTTCATCACAAAAACTCTGTTTAGTTTTCGTAAGTTTACTTTTAAAAGTTTAGCAATTAGTTTAATTAAGTTAGTCTTTTAATTGCATTTTATTTAACATTCAATCATTTATTCTAGATTCAAATTTTGTACTTCACTTTTGTTGTTTAAATTGTAGTTTACATTATAATTATAAGAATTTACCTATAAGCGTTTACAACTTCACAGTGAGATCAATATCTAGGACTCCATTAGAGCCCTTTATTACTTAGCGAAACGTATACTTGTGTTATTTTTAGGGGATTTGACAATTTAAAAAATTTTAAAAAGAAAATACTATTTTCACTAAAGTTATTTTTGTTGGGATTAAATTGCATATTTACTATTATATCTGCCGTGTGTATTTTGTAATATTGAAAAATATTTGCAAAAATAACACATTAAACTCGCCCGCATCAGTGGTACCTTCTTGAAGTACTTTTTATTTTGAATGGCTTCTACTAACTCTGCAATAGAGACTGTCAAAAGAGGGGATATCAAGGTTTCATGATCATTCAATAGCTGCTCTTAATAATGAGCTGGCCACTAGTCAGGCTATTAGCTTAACCTCCTTCATTGTGGTTCATGTCAACCCCTTATTATCCCGAGACGACCAATGATCTTCATATCATGGCTGAATAGAAGAATGTAAGTCTTCTCTTGGTCTCCATTTGTCATCTTTGGAGGCCCTTACCTATAGATGACAAGTGGCTGACTCTACTCTGGCAGAAGTATGAATGGAGTTATATCTCTTGTCAAAAATATGATTGTTGGCCAAATCCAATAATATAGCTAGATTTTTTGGTCGTTAAAGACCCAAAGCATAGTGGAAGGGTTTCTCTTTTCAGTCCCTGAGCTACAGCAGCGTGTGTTGCTTTGGATTCTAGATCCCACACTTCCAACATCACTTTCTGAAACCTCATGACGAACGAGCGAATAGATGACCTATTCAGACAATGCTAAGTGGTTAGTTGAACCAGTTTGGTCCTTGTAAGACTTCCATGATCCTAAATTTCTCAAGGGGTTCTTCTTAAAATTGGCTGTCTGTCGAATTGTGCCAACCCAACACAGTGTTGGTATTGGGAGTCTCCTTGTCTTTCCAAGGCCCAAGTTATCCTCCTGCCGTTGGGCACCAGCTCTTCCTTCTAAGCGCTCTGGTCTCAAGAGCTCTTCTCTGTGCTATAACTTCTCATATAGTCTTTTCCATTCTATTTAAAATTTGATCCCTCAACTCCTGGATCTATTGCTGCACAAACCCCCTTGTGCACTGCATGCCTGCAATGTCTTTTTGGTGGATTTCATCTCATCATTGTGCTCTTTTTTTGTTACTGACATAATCCACGGTCATTGCACCTTTTAGAATGTTGAATCTGAATTTGTTTGAGAGTCATACCTAAAGAATAGGGCATAAATTGAGTGAGAGAGAGAGAATACAATAATGAATAATAGAATGAGGGGATTGTGCAGCCTTTTATTAATGGAACAGTCTCTTATTTATAGGCAAAGAGAGTATAATATGTATAATTTCATCATTACCCCCACCTTAATGAGGGCATTATGGGGTATTTTGGTTAAATGAATCTATGGCCTGATTATCCTATCACTCGGTTAGCTTAGATTAGTGGGCCTTAGTTCGATAAGACTTATTTATCGGACTATGCTATCTTTAGAGTTGCCGACCAGCACTTGTTAATCTTCGGTTGTCCGGACTTAGTCAACCAGTCAGCTGCTTTGGTTCAACTATTGACTATCAACTACTAGATGAGGAGCTTTTGTAGCTAGGATATGACTAGATTGTCGAGCAGAGGGTGAAACATTGTAATCAGACACACAACTCATCCCTAGAAAAAGAAAGTCTTTCAGGCACTCGTGGAGTATATCATGGTAAAACTTTCGGCCTTCTGATGAAAAGTTTCAAAGACTATTGTGAGGTGGTAGGCAATGCTGAGGCGAGAGCTGGGCTAAGGCCTTCTCTCGACCTGATAAATCTTGGTTATTAGCTCAGACGGCTTGCGTCTAATCGGTTTCGAATCCCGATGTGCTTTTGGTCAATGAAGTTCTTTGATCTTCCGATAAGGGCTAAGGCCTTCTCTCGACCTGATAGAACTTGGTTATTAGCTCAGACGGCTTGCGTCTAATCAGTTTCGAATCCCGACTAAAGGGATCTGCTTTTGGTCAATGAAGTTCTTTGATCTTCCGATAAAAAAGCTTTGGGTCTTTCTTCTTTGAGCTATTCTTGGTCGTAATTTCATCTCTTGGTTTGTTGAATTCCTCGAGATTTGTGCTAACACATTTCTAATGTATATATATTTTCATTCATATCATATAAAAAGATATTAATTTTATTAATTCTTTTAATAGTCAAATATATCTTGGTGCATATATTTATGACACCATATAGATATCTGACTTTAGGTGTTAGATATTTAAATTCATATAAATCATGCCAAGTATATAAATTTCCCATAATTGCAATGATAGATTCTTTTTTCAAATTTAAAGAAATTTTTACTTCATGCAGTAAAAAGAAGAAAAATTGAGGTTGTTTTTTGTAGCATTGCGTGACCCTAAAATTGTTTTTTAGATGAAGCTCCGGAATCCCTTTCCATCAAGCTGGTGTACTCGCTGTCTGGTCGAACTGACGGATAATGGCGCTCGTTTCCGCTCGCCATTCCCACTCTCTTCTTCTACAGCATTTCTCCTCTGTATCTTCCTTCGCTGTCGGCGGCCATGCCTTCGATCCGGAGATTCGTCGGCTAGCCAAGTTCCAGCGTTTTACGGACATCGAAGCTATTCTTGAACCCCGTAAGATAATTCTTCCCGCCGACTACTCATCGCGCGAACCCTACCTAGCCTCCTTCATCACCGCGTACGCCTCTGCTGGCATGCTTGACCACGCTGTCCGCACCCTTGACGAGCTCCCTCGCCTTGGCGCCCCTCGCACCATTCTCTCCCTGAACGCCCTCCTCTCCGCCTGCAATCACTCTAAAACCCTGTCCCCCCGCGTCCCTGAACTGTTCTCCAACCTCTCTCACTGCCATTCCCTTTCCCCAGATAAGGTCTCCTATGGCATCCTCATCAAATCCCTTTGTCTTGCCCGCAACGCCTCTAAAGCCCTTCTTGTCCTCGAGGAGATGGATAACAAAAGGATCGAGATCACCGCAATATCCTACACCACCATTATGGATTCCTTGTACAAGGAAGGAAAGCCGAAGGAGGCCGAGCGACTCTGGCAGGAGATGCGCGCCAAGGGAGTCGTTCCGGACGTGGCTGCCTATAATGTTAGGGCTATGGACCGGGCTGTGAACGGGAATCCGAATGATGTGATAGGGGTGATGGAAGAGATTAAGGCCGAAGGGATGGCACCTGATATATTCACCTATAATTACATAATGATTTGTTATTGCAAGCATGGGCGGGTAGAGGATGCGAAGGGTGTATACAGGGAGCTCAAAGAGAAGGGATGTGAGGCCAATGCGGCTACTTATAAGAATTTGCTTTACGCGCTTTGCAAGAATAATGATTTTGTGGGTGGACTTGAGATTTTCGAAGATTGCGTGAAGCAGAGAAGGGTTCCGGACCTTGGTTCTGTGATGATGCTGGTGAAGGGGTTGATGAAGGCTTCCAAGATCAGGGCGGCAAAGAGGGTGGTTACTGGTCTGAGAAAGAAGTTCCCTGAAGATTTTAGTGGTAGTTGGAAGAAGCTGGAGAATGTAGTTGGCTTGAGCAATGATGAAAAGGTACCTGAGGTTGAAAGCTAGCTTGTATGATTGGGAATGCTTCAATGTTTTTCTGCTCGTGCTTTTTGCAGTGTCATTTTATATAGCAATTTTACTTCCACGGTTGATGGATAAATCTGTCTAGTTGTTGATTGGCGGAATAGCGATTGTTCTAATTTTCCTTTACATGAGATGCATCAAAATAATTTTATCCCTAGGTTTGGATTCATTTTTGCGTATTACCAGTCTAATGATTTTGGTATCTTTTCCTTAAAGCTTTTGCTTCTTACTGGAATTGAACATTTTATCTTACTTATATTTTGACATTGATGGAAAAACCTTTTTTTTTTTTTGTTTGAAAGATGTTTGAAAGATTTACTTGGTAATTTATTATCAGCCAATTTGACTTCATTAAAAGTTGCTTATTAAACTTTTTTCATCTATCAATTTCTGCAAGGTTAATGTTTGGGCCGGAATCTGTCATGTTTTGGATAGATTTAGCTTTCCACAGAAATGTGTTTTTTGTCTCAAGTTTCATTGCCCTTGGGAGTATTTCTCAAGTATATATCATGGCATTCTTCAGATGCTTACAAGGATATCATTTTTTCCTCATGATTTTAAATGGGTTGGCGTGTGCATGTTTTATTTAGTATAATTTCTAAAGATTGATGCACATTTTCAAGAATAGAATTATCTTCTGCCACTTATTCCTTTGAAGTTACCCCAGTTTATTGAGTTGGATCTGTGCATGTCAAGAAATGAATGACCAGTAGTGTTTATGCTCTTGTACTAGATGTTCCACGCGATTAATCCTCACTAATATCTGTATTTAGTATCTTTAAGCTAAATTTGCTGAAACTGTGTTATGTGCATAAATATTATTTATTTTTTGATATGGTTAGATTCTAAACTTGAAGGTAAATGTTCATTAAAGTTGGGACTATATTTTGATTCATGTGTTTTGGCATACTTGATTTAATTTAAATTTCATCTTTTAGTTTTTATTCCACACCAGATATTTGATTTCTTTAAGCGTGATAAAAGTATGAATTTGGCATGTCCTTGTAAAAACATGAGATAAAAGTTCCTTGCATTAATGAATTCTTTTTTTCACTAAATTTATTTCACATATTTTATTATTTTTTTCTCGTGTTCTTGATTTTGCTCGAGTTTGATCCAAAAAGAATCTATGTTGTAATTTTACTCAAGTTTGATACAAAAAAGGTTCTGGTTTTGGTGATTAAATTATAATTCCTTGTTTATTTTTTGTTGTTTAAAGTTCTTGTTGATCTCTTCTTATTTATTATTTCATTGCATTATCCTTTAGATTTTACTTAGCATATTTAACGTTTGCATTTAAAGAATGTAAGTTGTTGCATATTTAGTAGTTTGTGATCTGACTGTTTAAGCATTTTTTGCTTGATTTACGTACATCTCATCACAATGTTGTATCATAAAATCATAACACTATACTATCCTGCATCTCGTATGATAGCCTATTTTCTCATTAAAAAATAAATTAAATGTTGGACATCTTAATTGGGTAAAAATAATAAATGATGTAATTTAAACATAATAGGATAAATTTTAGGTTTAGATGACCATAATATAGAATTGTCAAGTTCAAAATTATATTCATAATTGGATGGATGAACACAATATAATAATTGTGAGGTTTAAAATTATATTCTTAATTTGATGATACATGAGAACTTTGAAATTTCTTACATTGTGTTAGTGATTTATATGGTTTCTTTTAAAATTTTAATTTTCTCGGATTCCCAAAAAGGTGGATGCATTAAATCTAAAGGCATGCCTACTCATTTTGGCGTAGTGTTGCCATTAAATTGTCATGGCTGTTTGAAATATAAACTATTAGAGCAATATTTCTCATATGATGAATATCGGTAGTGTTGCCATTAAATTGCCATGACTATTTAACATATAAAACTATTAAGAGTAATATTTGTCATATGATGAATATAGGAATCAATTGTTTGATTGATTTAAAAATTTTAAATTAGTTAAATATGGCTTGTTTCAGTATGATGCAATATTTATAAGTTTTAAAGCTAGATATGATTTGTTTTTAGATTACTTTGTTATTATTATTTATTTCACGCTATGATGCGTTGGCGTGGATACATGCACACAAACATGACATCAACATAGGAACAACAATACTGGATATTTGTAAAAAGTAAGGCACAACATGGCATGGACATGTTTTTGTATTTTATAAATTATAATATGAAATATTAAATTTCTATTAACCATTAAAAGCATCACTTGATAAAATATTATATTATATGCATATACGTCACAAAAGATGCCATATGCTACAAGAACAAGTTATTTATTTTAAGTGAAGAAAATGAAATAAAGTCTAAATAATTAATACATTAATTATAATTTTAACGTCATAAATTAAAGGTTTTTAAATTTATTTCTATTCCTTTTACTAAAATTCTTAGCATCTAAAATAAAGCTTCTCATTTGACATATTTGAAGAATGTAATCAGTACTTTTCTAATTATTATAATGCATGAAGTATAAGCATTACTATAATAATTTTTGTGGGAATGGATTAATTGTTGCATTGAATCATATATATCTATATTTGTTTCAATATAGCATTTTTTTTCTTAGTTATTGGCCATTTCAAGATGATTTTGATGCCAAGTTGGATAGGAGAGATGCGGGACGGCTTCAATGTTTAGGTGGACATGTAGATGGCTTTGATGCTTAGAGAGAGATCAGAGATAACTTCAACATTGAGGCGAAGATGCAAGAGGGCTTAGTAGACTAATAAGATATGTGAGACCGCTTCAATGAAGAGGTGTGTGATGCAACACAGATAAGACTGGGTCTAGGTATAAAGAGACAACTCATCAAAAAAATTAGCCCAATCATAAGAAGCATTTAGAATATCCAATTTAATTTTGAATTAAATTTTTTTCTTCAAATTTTATTTTATTTTTCAAAGTTTATATTTAGGTTTATTGTTATGTACTTATATGGTAAATTTGAAAGTTTGAATTTCATTGGTGTTTAAATTTTCAAAATTTGAGGGAAAAGAATTTTTATCATGAGAACAGGTTATTGTTAATTCATGAAATCATGTAATTAATTAATTCAATAAAATTTTAAATATTTTTTAAGCCTCATTGGGCTGGCCTCCATCTTTCCTTTCTAAAGGAGGAGCCATCCCCCTTTCCTCTGTATTTCCCATTCCTTAATTATATTAAGGTTATTATGTAAGGAGCTATTTTTGCTAAATGAAGATTATTAATTGAAAAAAAAAAGAAATTTTCATCCGAGTTTTAGTGGGTTGATGTTCGGCCAAAGGAGGTTAGGTTTTGGCGAGTGATAAATTTAATTATTATTGTACTTCTATTTTTTCTTATTATGAAAATCTAGATCTTGTTGTGATATTTTTGTTCTTTCGTCAATCTACCTCCCAATATTTTTTAAATCCAAATCATCCACAAAATCCCAACCTAATTCCACCGTGAAGTAGTCAGCTAAGATTAGGTCAAATCCTATCCAGTCTTGTTCCTTTGGCTAATTATCTCCTTAAAACACTTTAAAAAGTTGTGAAAAGTTCTAGAATTAATCTGTACACAATTTTCTTATTTTTGACCATTGTTTCTAAATTTTCTCAAGTTCTAAATCTCTTCTTCAAAACTAACATCCACCCCACCCAAAACTTGCTGCCAAGTTTGGTTCTTATATGACCTAGTATTCAATAAAGTCTAGAAAAAATATCATAACTCCATACAAATTTATAAAACTTTTCAAAATATCTTTATAATCACAATCTGAGATTTTCAAGTGGTTTTAAGCCTTGGGGTTGCCTATATCTCACCTCAAAAGCCTGAAGTCAGAGTTAGGTTTTTTGTATTTATTTTTGGGTTGTATCTTACATCCTTGCCTCTTAACTTGAGTTATATTCTTGATTTTTCACCTAAACTCTATTCCCTTGCTACACACTTGACATCATTTGAAGTTTTGTAACCCAAAAGAACTATCACTCTTAAGGGAAGCCCACGGCTCCCCACTAAGTTTTGGTATTAGAGTATAAGATTGAAGAAAGAGACAAAGCTTTGAGGAGACATTTGTATAAAAAATGTTTTTATTCATTAGCATCTGTATAAAATCTTTTTCTTATGTTATTCCCTTCTATGGTGCATTTTATGTTGTTTAATATGTTTGATTTGTTTAATGGCAGTTCAATAAATTTTGTGATATTTCTCCAGTTGATTTTCATTACATAATCGATTTAAACCCTCTTTCCTTAACCAATTCTTATAAATCACTTGTGGCAACCAATTTAATGTCTCAATCACTTTTTACAGTATTTCAATTTTAAGAATCTTAATATGATCTTTGTTTCTAATTAATCAAACTTCAAAATTATATTTATTTGTGTTAATGAGTTGAATCTATTTATGATAATTTTGTGTAAGCTCACATTTGTTTCACTTTCATGTTTTATATCATTTCACATCATTGAGGCAGCTCAAAACAAGCACTCACTCTTACAAATACATTTAAATTTAATTAATTGCTCAGATAATTGCATTGTCTGTACACCTTTACTTCACTAACACAACATACCACGAAACTCAACCATGATTGAAGAGTTTTAGGGGTTAGCTAGAATGCTTAAAGATCGAAGTATTAGGGCTAATACTTGTGATGATAGGCTAAAGCAAGTCCACCAATTTCTATGAGAAAATGACAATAAAATGCCAATCCTATTTGAAGTTATGATGGACCGGCTTAACCAACTTATTCATAGATTGCAAACACCAATTCTAGCTCTCACTCAACCCATCCTTCCTAAGAATTTTCATGTAGAGAACCTAAATTTTAGGAATAACAAAGGGCGTATGAATCATTTTAGTGGAGTGTACCAAAGTAAAAATGGCGATGACTTTGTTGACCATATTGAGAATGTGAATGAAGGACTTATCTTTGATGTGGTTTCTTAATTGTTTTAGCCAAATGGATGATTATCGGAGGGTAATTTTTTCCCAAAAAAAGGAGTTTATTTGCCATGCAAAAATTTATTGGTGCAATATTTTGGTAAAGGAAGAGAACTATGAAGACAAATCATTGCCTTAGCAGACATGGAAGAAATGCTGTTGTCTAAATATTTTCCCAAACATTATGATAAAAAGCTCCATGGGTATTTAATGACTCTTAGACAAAAAAATATGCCCA